ACAAAGCTCTGGAGTACCTACTGTGGGTCACCTGAAAAGCACAACATAAATAACATGAAAATTCCTTATGATGGGAAGAAAGAGGTAACGTGACTACTGAGAGTGACCTATAAAAGGTGGGACAACAGAGGACTAAGAAGAAAAACAAGGTGAAGAAATTCTCACAACTGCAACTACACCTTCAGGAATGCCGTGGTAAGGCACAACACCCAGACAAGCTGCTCTTTAAATATAGTTGGCTTATTTCCAAAGTTCTGGTCACTGAGCAGGGAATAACCCTAACCAACTCAGACTGTATTTTATGTCCTTGTCTTCTGCAATAAAATAAGGAATTGCCAGCTCAACAGATTTCAACAAAACAGTATTTAAAGCACATTCACATAAACAGATGCACCACGGAGTGAGTACACCTCAGAAATACTATTATTATTTCTTTAACACCCATCTATGAGAGAAAATTTAAAAATTGACAGATGTAGTATCATGTATGATATTAAAAAATTCACTCATCCCAATATTGGCAAGTGCACAAACCTTACCAGTTCTGCTTTCAATTTTTTTCCTACTTAGTTTGCTGTTAAAGGCCATTGAGATTTTCTTCTAAAGTTCAACTACTGAACAACCAAGGGTTACAACCATACCTTACTTTTACGCAAAGCTTACCAGACAGCTCATCTGTATACTTTTACAAAACTGAAAAAAACCCAACAGGACCAATAAAGCAAACAATTTCTGCGTATAATAGACATGTATATTACTTCTCCCAGTAAGCCATTTGAGTGAGAGTAATTAATGTTCAGTTTCTTCTGCCTAGGAAGTTAGAGACCACATACTTCTCTTTGATCCAGACTGCACCAAGTTAATAGGAAGCAGGATGGAAGCACGGATTCATGGACATGACACCTTAGAAATTAGCAAGATATTAATACGCCACAAATGGAGAACTCTTTTAAGTAAGAAGTTCAGTGGCTGCAGGCTCCATCCCCACAAGCAGAGAGGCAGCTTCTTGCAGTGCACAAAACTCTGCTCTTCACGTTGCAGGCTTTCCTGCTACTGCTGTTCTATTTATCAGAATTTTCTAGAGCTGCTGCCAAAATTTTGACAACTTGGCTAAGTGGCTATCATTCAGAACAGCACTCACCGAAACTAGCATGTACTGTACCATAAAAAGTCATCTCAGTGAATTAATGTTGCATGCCAATTACATAGCAAATCCTAATTCACCAATCCACATAAAGTATTAATGAGGAAGCTGAATCACACTATTCTGTTTTCAGGATCATAACATCAACATGGTCCTGAAAACCTGCTTTCCTTTTCCATACATTAAAACAGAGTACAGACTGCTTTCACTGTAATTGTATTCAAAAGATTAAGAAATCAGCAAATCTAAGAGTAACTACAAAATCAGCTTCAGACTATAATCATCTGCAGTTTATTCAGCTGTTACAGATTATACAGTTAATTGAATAGCTTCAAAGATTACTGACAAACATTTAAAAGCCTTATTAAAACACCAAATTCGTGCCACTGCTATGCTAACTACTATTTTTGTTTGTTTTGTGACAGAAAAGCTTTGTCATTAGCTAGGCTACAGTAGGGGAGTTGGAAGTAGATGTTCTCTAAGGTCCCCCCCCAGCCAAGCCACTCTATGACTGGCAGATTAGCAGGAAGCTGATAATGATCTTAGGCCTTTTTCAGTTGGATAATCTCATGCAAACTCAGTTTGAAATTTTCTAGAAAAAACTTTGCTGAAGCTTTTAGATTAAATTTTCTGCAAAGCATGAAGTGGATGAAGGGTGTTCATCTTTCACAGAAGCTAAACACCTGCTCTGTGAAAACAGGAAGGAGAAAGTCTAAGCATGGGCAGAAATGAAGATGTGTTCTGCTTCCCCAGCTCAATTGTTGGGGCATGGTAACTTACAAAGCCCACCACAACTCACGTTTTCTCTGGAGCTGCCACCTTCTGGTCCGACTTATCCACCCAATACAATGATCATCATCTAGGCTCCAGTGGTTGTTGGTGACTTGGTACAAGAAACACCCCTTTATATTCTTTTACAGCTTTAATTTGACCTTGCCATTCAAATATGCTTTTTGAGTGGTGCTTTTTTATTATTATCATTTTTATTCAGAGAGTCTGGAATCATGGCTTAACATACACATATTTAAATAATGAAGTGTATCAGAACACAAACTCAACAGCATGAATTTTCTGACAAAGCAGTCACCAGTGTCATGACCAATGATCAATACAGTATAGTATTCATTATTGATCTACATACATAATTTTTTTCCTTGTGTATTTCTTCTTACAGAATTTTTACAGCTGCTCACAACACTTTCAGACACAGTTTGAATTTTGGGTGGTCCTATGCAGAGCCAGGAATTGGACTCCATAATCCTTGTGGGTCCCTTCCAAGTTGGGACGTTCTGTGGTTCTATGATTTTGTGAGCACTACCTTAGAACACTGCATATAGTAATGGCTTTATTTGTAAAACCTACAAGGTAAAAAGTATTTACAAGGAAGATGAAACTAGTACACTGCTGCATAGAAAAGATTTGAGGTTTAACATTCTTTACTGCAAACCCATCCTTCTATCCTGTTTAAAGAAAAACTACACAGGAGATTCTCTGTTACCAACTGCAATCTGATTGCATGCAGCATAATAAAGGGGAAGGTTGGTTGCTTTGTGTTTGTTTTGGTAGAGAATAGATACATATGTTGAAGTAAAAAAAGAGCTTACACGTCTGCTTAAGCACATTTAGGTTAAGTTGCTATCAAAAGACACTGTCCCACTTTCCCCTACTCTGCCAATGCAAGCATTATGTTGGCTGCATAAGCAGTCACTGAAACAACTGCCAGACTAGGTATACTCACTTTCACTCAGATCAGTGAGCTCAACCAGGTTACACTGCAACTTCAGAGCCACTGTGAGCAGTAGGAACAAGGAAGTACTGGATCTGGAGCTGTAGGGAGGGCACACTGCCCTTCCCAGGAGCAAAGCCTTAGTTCAGATCAAACTGATCAGGAAACCTCATCTATAGGGGTTGTAATAATGATTCAGTGCACAGTACAAGTTCCTCTACTCTCCTGCCATTCTCCTCCCTCAGGTAAGCTTTCCAGTGTTACAGTGTGACAACATCTTCCTCACGCATGATAATTCACATTAAACTGTGTCTTAAAATGTTGCTCCCCCACCCACACACTCATTCCTTCGCTCCTTCCCAGCCCTGCTCATCAGCCAAACCTGTTCACATACTTCCTCTTATATCTACAACACTTAATTAAACAATTTTAAGACAGCTGCAATTGCAAAGTCATCTTTTAAAGTATATATTTGCATATACATTAAAATACAAAAGCAGCAAGACTACATTTTACTTATCCCAATCTTGTCCTCTGACCACATTTGTTCAAAAATAAAAGTAGTTCCCACCAAAGCACCTACAAAGAATGACCTCGTTCTGTATGATTATTTCTCATGCAGATTACTACTCTGATCCTGCTCACTGGGAGCCAAAAGAAGTATTTGTACCAACACAGTGCAAGAAGTAACACAGGAGCAGGACAGCACTATTTTTGGCTGCGCTATGATCTGCAGCGCACGTCAGCACGCAGCTCCAGGCCAGGCAGCCCGCTGCTCCGGCTCACAGCAGCTCACGGACAGCTGTGCTCAGAGTGGGAAAGAAGCAACCCCAGAACAAGTGACACGTGGAGCAGCACCTGGGAGCGGCCCTACTGAGCACCACACAAACAGAGTTCAGCATTTCATATCCATCAGATTGCTTAGTTAGCATGTGTTTAAGCAAGGAGGCTGCTTCCTTCTTTCATTTTTCAGTATTGTCAATCAGTTGTCAGTACTTGAGAATTTCCGTTCATGAAACTGAAAGGAGCATGAAACTAAAGGAGCAGTAAGGTATGTAATACTCAGGGATCACAAAAATATGCTCTGCATTAGTAGAGCATCAATTTAGTCTTCAAAGCACAACTATTAAGTCAATGGGAAACAAATGCAACTTCTACCAGAGAGCTCTTCTGCAACAGGAACTATGGGACAAGTGGGTGCCCACAGATGGGGGACAAAGACTGCACAAAAAGGGGAGGAAATGAGTGAACCATGATCCAGGAGCATCCTTGCAGGGCTCTGCCACTCATCACCCACCTCAAGGTGCTGAGCTTACATGGATGAGTAACGACACACTACGTCAGCGTTCACAGAGATGGTTAGCTTTAGAGTAAGAAACTCTTCAGCACTTTCACTCTTGCTCCCAAGGAATGTAAAGGCTGCTGTACAAACAATAAAATCTTGAAATATTAGGGCTCTGTATTCTGTCATATATGTCAGTTACTTTATTCACTTCAGAGAATAACATTGCAGATATTCATACAGAGATGAATACACTTTTCTATTCTGCATGCGTTGCACTGGTACAGTTAGAGGCCAGTTCTGTACACACAAAAATCAGACTGACGGAGTGTGCTGTTCAGGGTTGGGTTGCTACCTTTTCTTCCTTTCCCTTAGATCCCTCTCCACAGAACAGCAGCACCCACCTCACACTTCCATTTATTTTTCAAAAGCCGTTACCTAGTTTAGCACGGATCACCGCAGGACTACCGAACACCCGCAGCACCGAATCACAGGAATTCGCTGCCCTCTGTGCCTCCTCCCGGCTCCCACCCCCCGGACCGGCCCCCTCCTGCCGCCGCACTCGGGGTCCGGCCGCCCTCGGGCGGGGCTGGGAGCGCGGATCTCCCCAGGCGCGGAACTCCCCGGGCGCAGCGGACCCGCAGGCCGCTCAATCGATAGGCGGAGCGCGGGAGAGCGCCCGGATCGACAATCGGCAGCTGGGAGGCTATTTTTTGCGAGGGTTGACTAAATATGGTCAGGGAAGAGCGAGGCGCGGGGGAGCCGGGCGGCCCGGCTGTGCGTGTTTCAAATGCTTAGCCGCCTATAAAGCCCGGCGGCGGGGCTGTGGCCCGCGAGCGGCAGTGCGGGCGGCGGGGTGCTGACCTCTGCGGACGGAAGGAAGAAGGAAGGAAGGAAGGAGGGCTCCGGCAGCGCGGAGCTGCGGCGGCGCGCCCCGGGAGCGCAGCTCGGGCACGGGAGGATGCGGGGCTCGGCCGCGGGAGCCAGAAGGAACCACCACTGCGGGAGGGGGGGAGACGATCGCTGCCTTCATTTATTTATTTATTTTTAATTTTTCTGAAGAGACTCCCAACTTTTTTGGGGGGGAGGGAGCTGATTTTCTTTTGGGGCTTTTTTTTTTCCCCCCTTCCCCCCCTCCTTTTTGCCTGTGATTACTCTCATCATAGCCCACCTTCTCATGGCTTGCCAGCACCCATCCTTGGACTCTTAGCTCCCAGCCCAGCAGCCGTGAGGTACCACCTCTCCACCACCACCACCACCCCACCGCAGGCAGCAGGTGCCACCGGCCCCGCACCTCTCCGCACCCTGCAGGCCCGGCCCGGCGAGCTGGCGGGTGAGATGGCAGCTGCTGGGCCCTGGCCGCACCTCTGCCAGCCTGCATGACCCTGAGCTCAGGTAACGCACCGCCACACCGCCTGCCGTGTTCTGCACGTTTAAGGATGCCTATGACTTTCTGCATGTGTGACTTATTTACTAGATGGGGTTTTTTTGGTTGTTGTTGGTTTTCTTTTTTTTTTTTTCCCTTTTTTTTTTTTTTTTTTTTTTTAAAGTTGTGATTAATCCCTCTGCTCGAGGAGCAGCTTGGTTTGAGGGTGGTGGAGTATCATGCATTGGAGGTGTAAAGAACAGGCCAACACGAATCCAAAATTCCTAGCAAGAAAGCCCAACTTGTCTGGCAGAATTCTTGCTAGCGAAGATCAACTCAGATACCGCAATGCCATTAACTGCTCAGCAAACAGCATTAGTTTCACTGATACATTCCTGTTTTCCTATGCAAACCACAAGTAAAGGACTACCAGCCACACAAAAAGCCACCAGCACGGCTGGGCAGAGCTCTGAAGCTACGCAGAGCACAGAGGTGCTGTAGCTCGGCTGCACGAGGGATCAACCTACTTACAGCACTAGGATGCTGCTGCATTGCTGCTCTCAGCGCTGTGCCGGCTTCTGCCACACGCTGATTTGCTCTCTGCCAGCTGCACTAGGGCTCTGCCATGAACTGCAGAAATCCATACTACCTCTGCTCTCGGCTTGCCTTACCACTAGTACATATACTGTCACACCATTTACCTTCTAACGCTGGAAAAAGAAAGCTTACTCCTCACAGTAACCCCAGTGAACCTCTGAACCAAATTTAAGCAGCCCCAAGCGGTGTCTGACAACTCTGTGGAGCCAAACCCCTCCAACACACCTAATGTTTAACTTCCAGACCTAGTGGAGTCTGCTCAAACAGTTTGGCTGGGGTTGTTGGGCTTTTTAAAATTTCATAACATTTAAAGCGTGAACAGCATTTTGACTGAAGCAGGTGAGTGCCAATTTAGGAAAAAAAAAAAAGCAACCCTGTTCTGTAGAAGTGTTGAATAGGAATTAGCTGCCACATGTGACCTTGGGCCTGACAATCCAAACCCTGTCACAGCAGTTAGAGGTTGTTTGCTGAACTCCATGCCATTATGCCTGCGATAAGCAGGACCACTGTGGCATACGCACATCCACTTTTTAAGACTACTCTCAGCTACAGCAGAAACCTGCAATGAGTTTGCAGAACACTGGGTGTATGAAGCAGGAAGGTGGAGCTGGGGAGGGTAAGGAAGTTTCTAACTGCTGTATTGGATGAGCTTGTGGTTCCCTCCAGGATCCTACATGAAGAAACACAAGAGGAAGTATTCCTGAAGACCTCAGAGAAAGCTGGCACTTTCGCAGTGGAATACAACTCCGAATCCCAAGAACACATCCTGCAAAATTACCAGTGATTCAAGTCTCCGTTCAACCCTGGTTGCTCAGAACAGCAAGCAGCTGCAGAAGCCTGAATAAGCACTTCTCTTGTCAGTGCCGTCAGAGCAGTGAGCTATAACTGGCTTTAAGCCACTGCACAGGTAAATTGCATCATTGAATTCAGTTAGATTGAGTAGATGGGTTTCTATCATCAGTTAATTGTAACATTGTTCTCCCAAAGAAATCTCAGCCCTGAATTTTACTTAATGAAAGAACCAGTAAGCAGCAAAGTCCTTTTCAGGTTCATTTGAGCAACTCTACAAGTACCTGCTCAGAGCACATACTTCTTTATGTACCCATATGAACATACAATGCTATGGAATGTAAAGAAGTATGTATTTTTGGCAGGCACAGAACGACCAGTAAGAGGAAACTAACAGCTGTTGGGAAGAGCGTGCTTCCCCACATTTGAGTGACATTCAAGTGACAAGTTAACTGGCTAAGGGTCAGCTGGTACTGCCTAAATAACACATACTTACTAGTAACAACTCACAAAGCATTAAGTTAAGGGACTATATACGTGGGTTGAGAAAGTTTTTCTTGGATTACAAACTTAACATCAGCTGTAAACACAAAACCCACAACGAGGCTGGGAACTAACAGTTCAACATGCTAATTCAGACCAGCAAAAGTTATGATTACAGTACACCTCATACAATAGAACCTAAACAAACTTTAAAAGCCCAATTACCAAAACATATCTCATTTAACCAAGCCATTGTTTTACTAATCTCAGCAAGTCCTGTACACTCACAATGACACCTTTTAAACTTGCATCTACCACAGATTATTTAACAACTTACAAACCGCAACCAGGACATAAGCAGAAACAGATGAGAAATTAAGGCTGTGATTTAGAGAAAAGGATTTACAGAAGTACATTAAGTACAATGACATCTGCCGTTTAGCATATAGCATTTAAGTTAGAATTTTCTCCAAATCAGCATTTACTATGCTCACTGAGCTCTTCAGTACAAACTGCTGTGTCTGGTTTATGCACAGAAAGTGACAATACAGAGATTTCTAGGCCCCAGTTGCTAGTCAGCAGATTAAAACTATTGACAGATTCCTAAAGGGAAACACAAATGGCAAATAACACTTACCTAAGTTACCTTACATATCATTTTCAAATTAACCACATTTACTTTAAATCTGGATTTAAGAAAATTGGCCATGCAAACATTTTATAACACCTTGAAAATTTTGAGACCTGCTCTGGAAAAACATCCCACAACAGTTTAAGTTCTAAAAGCAGGATTAATTAAAATATGCGAATGCATACCGTCCCTAAGTTAAGAGGCTCAACACTAAATTCAGGAATAGGGAAAAAAATCAGAGGAATACTCTCAGCTCACCGGTACAGCAATTCTATTCATAAAGCAGCCTTCTAAGAGCAGTTAGCTGATACATTCATGAGAAGCAGGCACATTTGTCCCAGTTTAAAAATTCTAACTCTATCTATGTGCTTACTAAAATGTCTGGGAAAAAAAAAAAACAACAACAACAGCAACAAAAAGCAACATACCAATTTTAGATTGAGAACCTTATTTTTAAAATACTCAAATAATACTCAAATAGCTATTATACATAGCCTGCTATTTTTATTGCTTGAAACTAAAGAGTAACGCACAGTAGAAAGAACCACAGAAGAAAGAAGGAAGAATGGTTCTCTTATCAGAATCATTTGCTAAAGTAAAATGCTTAACATTTTTTAAAAAGCCATTTCTCTTATAAGCAGATATTGTGACACAAAGAAAATGGCATCTCTAAATCCAAATTCAAATCTACTTTATAGTGGGAAACAATCAAACCATAGTGGCTAATCTCAGAGTGATGCTACTGAACTTGATCACGCTCACAGAAGTAATCTGGTATTACCACCAGCTTTACAGAGAGGTTAATTGCTAAGCATCCAGTTGTTCTACTGAAGAGTTCCTGTCCTCCGTGCTAATTGATTTGGTCTCCACTGTGTACTCAAACTTTTTAACATCTCAAATGTATTTACAGAGGTTTTGATAACAAGTCATCATACCACCTTCTTTCTCCTCTGCTTTGTGTAACACTGCAGCGCTGTTCCGAAACAAAATGACAGTTCTGAGTGACACAGAAGTTAAAATTACACATTGACACTGCTTCCTGCTAGTTCATGTTAGCGTAGCTCTAAGAATACATATCCAGTCACTCTGAAATGTCACATCCATCACTTAGATCAGCTGTTCGGTTTTTAACTGAGCACACGTTGAACTTTGGGCATCTGCTGACACAGTTGTAACTCAAACATTTCAACTGTGTGACTGACAGGGATAACAGATGCTGACATTATCAAATGCTACACGGCTTTTTTTCCATGGCCGTTTTTTGTCCCGATATGGCCAGTACATGCAACTGTATTACCATCCAAAAGCGCACTTGAGCAGCTGTATCTGTAAAACAGTTCCTGTATAACTGGTAAAAATAGAAACTAATTTTATAACCATCTTTAATGCTGAAGTCCAAGTGACACACCTGCTATGTTTCTATTAGCATGCATGGTGTTGGGAATATATTTACATAAATCTTCTCACCAGTATCAGACCGTGCAGCAAACAGATGCAGACTGTACTTGATGCAGTCATTATTAGTGAATGGCTCCAACTAATTTTTGTCTACTATTTCCCACTGCAGTCAAAGCTCACTTTAAAAAAAGAAAAAAACCACCACTGAATTCAGCACACAGCATATAAAAAGCTAGGTTAGCATATGCACATGTTAAAGGAGGCTTGGTTTAGGAGAATTAAAAAAAAAAAAAACAAACATTAAATCCCAGATCTTTCATTTTTTTAAACTGCATTTTACCTGATATATAACACTTACATATACAATCAAGTAGGAAAAAAAAAATCTGTCTTGCTATATTATGTAATCATTCCTAAAAAGTTAATACTAACCAGAGATATAGTGATGGAATTGAAAGCGCTTGACATTTACACTTGTGCTAAGCAAGTACAGCACTAAAGCAGCTGCAAAGGGTAACCTGCCAGAAAACCAAGGGGGTAGGGAGGTGGCAAAATGAAACCTTCTCTCCAGTAATGCTCAACATTGAGAGGCAAAGGAACTCTACATGAGTACAACCTGAAAGCACGCTGTTTGTGGTCACTACCCTAGAATTTCATTATTTCAGATCAAGAACAGTTTACACTGCAACTAGAATTTGAGCTGAGACTCAAAGAATTAGGCAAGGAAAATACAACCCTGTACGTATGAGGCCTCACTGGCACATATCTTTCCATTTTGCCGCTTCAAAATTAAAGAATTTAAATTTGCAATGACTAGAAACAAAACACAGCTCAGGAGGAAGCCACACATTCTTTGTGAACAGTCCGCATATGCTAAATGGTCTTAAAAATATGTTATTAAATTATAACCTTCCTGCACTCCAATGCTTTGCTAAAGCTGGTAAAATGGAACCAAATCACCTCTTCAATGGATTTGGTCCCCTTCAACCAGCTGTAGCTATGCATTGATCACTACAGGATTTTTTATATATTTAAAGCTAGACGATAAGCCAGAATAATTTTGCAGAGAGGGCTGATTTTTTCCAGGCACTTAGAAGATAGAAGGTAACAAGAAGTACAGTGAATTCCATAGTTCAAAAATCTCAAGGTTGTACCTGTAAATAAACAGCTAATGGTTGTATATATTCGTATATATTCATTGCAAACTGACCTTAAAACATTTTTGAAGATAGGCAAACAGCGAAATAAACACATTTTCCAATGACTGATTGTCTCCTGTATTTTTCCTCAAGTCTGCTGCACTTTTAACAGAACTGATCCCCCCAGAAGAAGATACAGAATGAACAGTATTTGCAGTAGCACATCTACTTTCTGGACACCTCTGTTATCCCTCACTTTCCTTCGCCCCCTTCTATCCTTTAAAAAAAAAATAAAAATACAGCAAATTGCACAAGGGAAGCAACACCCCGGGCAGAAACTGTATTGGCTGCCTTGTATGCTATCTGGGCATATTATTTACTATTTAAAGATAAAGTTGTCACTGACCTCAGCAGCTACAGGCTATCTAATTATAGGTCTGCCCATGGAGATTATATTCCCCCTTAACACCAATCTGAACAAAAGTCTTCTTTCAAAGCATTTTCTGACTTAATACGTAACAGTAAACAGTTTGAAGAGCATGCTTTTAATTTTTTTTATTTTGAAGCATTCAGCTTGTCTGAAGAGCAAATAAGTAAAAGCAATCTTTGCTTCCAATTTCAGAAAATAATTTTACAACTCTTTGATTATTCCAGACCTTGTCTCTTTGAGGACTTACATGACCAAACACCACAAATTCCTGAGATACTAAGAACAGCTGAAATCCTAACTCTCACAGAACACGTCAGTTAAACTCCATTACCAACCAGTTCAAACCATCTGCACATTCTAGGACAGATCTATGAAAAATAATATAACAACTAGGGGGGGAAATTGCAATTCCATTTTGAAATACTATTTTCTATTTGCTAGTTTATAACACAGACATGACAAGCCGCTTGCTATCAAAGAGCCGTGTAAAAGCTGCATCTTATTCCAATATTTTTTTTAACCTAAAGAATAGTTCCTCAGTTACCAAAGAATGGTCTGAGGAACTAGTAGTACGTGTGCCAAGAGAAGTCAGCTCCAAAAGCAGCCTCCATTTAGGATGCTGACTGCAGTGTGAATAGCTCTCTTCACAAGATACAATGCAAATCTCCATCTAACTGGGGCAATGGATATATCATACACCCACACGGTCTCATCTTCAGATGAAAAACTCAGGTACATGAATAGATCAAACATAACCAGAAGTTGAAAAATGTGGTAAACAGAACTGATCTGTACAGTATAAGCAAATTTTATTCTGAAAAATCTCATTAATGCTGAGGAGACAAAGTCTGCCGAGCTTAAAGGTTCACAGTACTTTAAATGAAAACAAAACATTCATATAATAATTATTTATATATTTATATATTTGACCTTAAGGGGAGTCTAGTGCAGTCTATTCCATATATGGCACCATAGCCTCAAGCCACGCAAACTCCAGCTTAGAAAGCTTAGATAGGAAATACAAGTAAGTGCTTAAGTAAGGCTTCAAGCAGAATGTATTGTGATCCTTAACAGCTAAAAGGTAAAATTCAGAGTATTATTTTTAACAGTACTTTAAATATTTTGTACTCAGTGCATTTAACAGATTAGTAGTATCTATTGTTCTATATCAGATTAGAAAGAACTAGTTACTAATATAAAAAAATCTGCTTTCATCTGGAGAGAGGCCAGTGGCAGAACTACAGATCAACATAATGAAATAAATGACATTTAAGAGTAAATGAAAGCAGAACTCAACTCTCAAATCAATCAAATAATTATGATTGGGGCTGGGAGAGGATGTGTGGAAGAAGTGGCACAAAAGAACTCTTTCTGAAATCTTTTTATTTCCATTAATTCTTCCCAGGTCGATGTGCAAAATGCCTAATTCTGTGAAGAAAAACAAACCTACCAACTTCCATAGTAGGAAAAAAAAGATTCTCTCTGTCTACCTGCTTCAGAGGTACTCAAGCACAGCTGCAACCAGAAAGTAGATACCTAACTGCTTTATACAGCAAACCTTTTCAGATACTGGTCAAAACACACAGGGAAACCTACACAAGGTTCAAATCACTAATACTGGAAATATTTTTTATTCTTGAAGTAAAAACTTTCATAAGGAAGAAAGGATTCAGGGAAAAAAAACTGTATGATGCCTCACGTTCTACCAGCTGTCAAACCAAACTAGTCTAAATTCCAATTTTGATCTCTCTGTCAAAGAAAAATCTTGTTCATATTCACCCACAGAAAAATCTTCAGTACCCCTAGGAAGAACTCTTTTTCCATACATTTTCCTTGCATTTCATATTGAGATAGTTTTTCATGCAAACCAACTGTGACAAGAGCCTAAGGAAAGTAACACAGAAGTTAAAAAGAATCCAACCCAGGTAACTGGAGACCGCACACAGTATTCCTGGTTAACGCTGTTAATGTAAACATGGAGAGTTCATGTTAAATAAGTTACCCATTTGTGAAACAACTGTCTTTGAATGCCAAAAATACACTCCCTTCACAACATCCTCAAAACGTTCTCTTACAGACCTATTTCAGGCACTGTAGAAAGCTGTAAATACAGTTATTGTTCCTATCAACACTCACAACCACAACTTTCAACTATGTGATTCCATTCATTTTACATACGTAAACACTCATATTTACTTTCTGACCATCAGCCTCGATAGCTGTATGCTAAGACACTCACCCACGTTATTCCCACACACAATATACATAACATCCTTATAAATAACATCCTTATTCATCTAGCTTCATTCAACTGAAAAGCAGAAAAATTAAGCAGTAAACAAGCATATACATTTCTTTCTTCATGCAAAGAAAATTCTCCGCCATGCAATATCACCCAAGTCCTGTTATTATAACAGCCTTCAAGAAAATCACATTATCCATAACATAATAAGCAACCAGCAAGTTCTCCCACAAAGTTCTACAATCATTTTTTCTGCAAACTATCTTAACTGAGGATTCAACACAGATGCACAGTATGCCAACTGGCACAAAACAAATTATGCCTTAAATTTAACTTCTTCAGAATAACCTGTTACATAAAGAAGAAATTCCTTCTACACATGCTTTTGAGGAAACAAAATCATGTTTCTTTTACCAAAGGGGATTGAACCCAACAATCCTATCACTTTATAACCACACAGTATCTTTAGAAATTACTCAAGTGTTTCTAAAAATCTCAAATCCCTTCCCCAGTTCCAACATTCAAGAAGAACAGAAGCATTTTTACAAGATCCTACTTAACTTCTCACTTGTAAAAGCCTGTTTGCAAACTTTTACAGACTTCTACAGAGATCCAGAGTTGCCTCAACACAGCACTGAATGCAGCAGATTAGTGATTTCATTCTAATTGTGGCCTACTCTACTATTAGAAACAACTCCTATCTAAGCATTATCAAAATTTAAGAAACAACTATATACAGGCTCAAGGACCTTTTAAAAGAATACCACAATTCCACATTTCTATGCACTTGTCTTTCACAAATGAGAAAATATTTTTTAAAAACAAATCTTTACCTTGGGTTTCCTCTTAGTGCAGCATGGTGAAGAGCATTAAAGCCATTGTTGTTGGTGATAGTAACATCTGCACCAGCTTCTAACAGTACAGCCAGGATGTCATCACGCTTTTTACTTATTGCATCATGGAGTGGAGTGTCACCTTCAGAATCCTGAAACCAGAAACAGCTTGCATCAGTTTCTGTATGCATCCACATTAAGAAGTAACATGTAAATATCACTAGGAAAAACTGACTACACAAAACAGGTCTTCGTTTCTAGAAGTGTGGCTATACTGTAGAGTTCAGAGCATGGTGCTTCTGCTCTTGTTCTGGTTTTGGAAACACTCGAGTAGGTAATCCCTCCCTGGGCTCCCAGTTTTCTATGATTACCCAGCTACCAAAACTCCAAACCAGAGTTTAAGCATGCGTTGCATGTGACAACACTGGAGATACTGGTGTAGATATCAGCTTCTGTATCTCACACGTGGATTAATGAGATGCCCAAATTAACATTTCTGAGTAACAGAAGGTCAGCAACAAGAACACCACAACAGAGATTAGCCAGGCAGGAGAAGGAAGGGAATTCTGAGTGATGATGGCAAATTAGTAATCTACGTGGTTAGTAATTAACCACGTAAAAGATAATGCCAAAAAGATGATAGGAAATAAAAGCTTAAAGAGAAGGAAAAAATAAAATGCAGGCCAAGTAATTTAGGCACATCTGTCATTTTAACTGAAGCACATCATTTTCCATGAAGCAAAGGCCAACGTCACAAGCAATATTAAGCTTTTAAACTCCTTATAGCTCATACTGGATTACATTACACAAGGAAAATGAAAATATTTCTCTGATTTCATTGCATAATTAAATTGAAGACAATTCATTTATATTTTTAGCTTGCCATTTTATTCTTCAAATATCCCAAATAAGGGGAAATACTACTTATTCCTAAAAGTAGTTTGTACATTACTTATTCGAGGACCCAAACGGTTGGGCTAAAAAGGAATGTCCTATGATTAACAGTGAGAAAACACATCCATTTATGCTTATTTGCTGCTATCTAAGCAAACTCTCCAGATTTATGCTTCCAGTAAAATTTTAACACCATATAAGTCAGGAGGACTTCTGTCACTGACTCAACTACTAACTGATAAACACAGGATCTGAACATTTTAGCAATACAGTCCAATATGAAAACAAATCTTTTGAATCTTTACCATGAGAATCACAAATTGACAAACAAAGTGTCAAATAAAGGAAAAACTTGAACCAGTTTGCTAGAATTTAACTATGCAGTTTTTATCTAGTCTAACTGATGGCATTTGCTGAATTTACTGCTTACAAATTAACATGCCTCTGTTTACACCAAGAATGGGCTTCAGCGGAAGAGTGATGGGCACTTAAATTCCAGTCGTGACTCAATCTGACTACTCTGTGCTCTTATCCACCAAGTCAGTTGCCTACTCACATTTGCCCATTAGCATTCAGCCCTGCAGGATCTGAAAGTTCGTTATGTTCAATGACAGTTTTATTTTCCAGGTAGAGATCCACAGCACCATTCTACTGAATTTTTCAAACCAAACGAATTTCTGTTATTTCAAGTCAGAGATATTCACTCTGCCTACCCACAGATCGTTGTATGATGCACATTATCACCCCTGACTAAACTCAAGACAAAAGATTCTTTACTTATCCCAAGTTCAGCAAATACTAAGGAGGGTATGGATGAACACTAGCTGGCTGACAGCTCAGCCTCAGCAAGCTCAAGAGTATACACACAAAGCCAGGTAAAAGCAGACAGACAATCAATATATTAATTAATTTTAAGTTTGCTTTACTTTTGTTACACGAATATACAGTTTTGAAAATTTTACTGCTTTTTGACATGATGGCAAAGCAAGATGGTAGATGTGTTATTAACATGTCTTGATTTTATCAGGACATTACAGCTTTTTCTTTCTACTGAAAACCTCTTCTGACTTGTTTTACTAATGCACTGCATGAGATTGCATTAAGCTCATGAAGAATATGGATGCTTGCTTGTTTGACAGCAGGTTTCTCCTCTACCTTCTCAACAGGAGGTTCCACTCATATGTCACAGCTTCCACCGCATTCATTACAGATAAAATTGCCTGTGTAATTATGGAACTTGAGGCCCCATATATCATGACCTTTTAGATAAAAGTCTGAGCTTTAAAAGAGAATTTGGCTAAACAGTTGTATTGACGATAGGTCAATTCTAGGGGAAAAAAGGTTTCTTTCAATGAAACATTCCACAGTATCAACATCCAAAGAAAAATTCAAAGCTGCAAACAGCTGCAGATTAGATAGAGAAAGAATCTGGAGAAAAAATTAACAATCACAGATAACTACAGTCTGTGAAAATATCAACTAACATGAACCGGCCTGAATAAATCAGGTGCCTTTATCAAGCTTTTTAGAAAACCAATCAATAACAGCATTTTTATTACAGCTGGTCACATCAGGGTAGAAGATGGAAGAGAGAACTTCACAAGGTCTGGTCCTTTCCATCCTATTTTCCGTGATTATTCAATTATCTATACACAGCATCCACACGCTTGAAATGCTAGAAGTAGAATAGATTCACGTTTTAGGTATTTAACGTCTGCATTACCTGGAGACTAGGATGGCAGCCAAAGTCCAGTAAAGTCTTCACAACTTGAAGATGACCTTTGTTGACAGCAATATGAAGTGGAGTCTGCCTCCGTTTGTTGCGAGCGTTCAGATCTGCGCTGCCTCGGTGCAAAACCTCAATCACAGCACCCTCGTCACCAAAGGCCGCGTGATGGACAGCCCTGTCTCCATCTTTATCCTAAGGTAGAAACAATAGTTTAACTCTATATATTTCACACTTCAAGAAGAAATTAAACAGAACCATGAAAATTTCTTTGAAGAAGAAAGGGATATTTGAATGGAACTGAGATTATTTAAACTAATAAAAGAATTGATCAAACCATAAAGGAATAATAGAGAATGAAGAATCTGTGTACAGAAATATGCATTCTACAATATATGATATTCAATGCTATATCACCATCAACAAAAACAAACAAAAACACAATACATCACCCACCTGTAACTAAGGACAACCTATTCTGTACTCCAGGAACTGCCAAATTCCAAATCATGGAAGAAGACCAGAGAATTGTTCATATGATTAAGTTACATATATATTAGGGCTTATCATATCTTAACTTTGAGTTTATAAATTGTTTTCCAAAGGAAATCTGGGATTGAAGCTAAAGTTAAATGCAAGTTCTGATTCTACGATGAAGCTTCACAGCATTAAAATTCTGATTCAATTCAGTTTGTCTCAGTTTCATTACTTCATTCTCATATTCTAGGTACATACTATAGTATAAATAATACTATTTAATAATAATAGACAGCTTCTTAAGCTGTCAGTAACAATTTTTTTCTGACAAAATAGAAGCCACTTGAACTCAGAATTAAGCTGAGGTAAGCACAGAGGAGGCAACACCAACAGAACCTTCTTCTGATTGAGATAATGGGAACACTAACAACCCCACCAGATGATCACAAGATGCCTTATCTCAAAGCTGCATAGATAACACTTTGACCTCCCTCTGCAATGCATCTAATCCTTCCTTACACCACTGAAGTATCAGTTCACAATTTGATTAATGCTGCAGCTTGGATCCCACAGTACAGATGAAAAGCAGCTCAGACTAGTTAACAACAATGCAGGGTGTGTACTGCAGTGAAAGTACAGCTTCTACAATGAAGGTGTTTCACAGATTTTAGTCCACAGCAACAAATTACTGCATCAAATTTGTCATTTTTGCCGTTTAAGTAGAAGACTTCTACAAAGCAAAGGTGTACCAGTGAATATGAAAATTATTTCAGTACCAAGGAATTTATCATTTCATCAGTGATATCAACACAGCATAACTAGCTTTTAAACACAAAGCAGCACATCTTATACTAAACACACAACACTTTGCCACACTGTGTCCAAGAAAAGCAATCAGTATGAAAAGATAGTCTATTCATTTCTCTGCAACCTGGTTACATACTGTTAAAAAAAGTAAAATTTTTCTACACCCTTTGTTACTCTGCTTGTTTTTTTAATAGCTATCTATCAATCAATCAAAAAAGCAAAAGTAGTTAACCTGTCATCAGAAAGAAACATGTTAGAAAGCTTAGAAACATAGTTGCATGTAGTGCAAACTAAAATAAAACCAGAAGAATTTATAAATTATTGCAGGAAAGCAACTCCAATAGATATGCTATTCATGTGCGTAGGTAAGTTTAAAATGTAAGGGTACAAAAAGAATATTTGAAATATTTCATTTACCTCTGCTTCTACATCCACATTCTGTTTCAGAAGCAACTTCAAAATGTCAACATGGCCATTCTGACTAGCTGCTTGCATAGCTGTGTGTCCAGCACACTGTCCATTTACCTGGAAGCAATTAACACTTTGAGATAAATGCACATAGCCCTACGAGACACTGCATACATGCAAGTGCCTTAGAAAACAGAGTATATTACTGAATCAAACACAAGACTAGAAAATGAACGATTTTTAGAAAGCTGCCTTTTTGACATCACCTCCTCCTAGGTCTACGCTATCTTATTTTCACAGCATTAGCTAGAATGAAGGAAAGAAGAAGCATTTATTTAACACATTAAGATCTTAATGACAGCTGGATTAAAAAATGTATATAGATTACCTTTGGGCCTCTGTAAAGATAAGCTTTTAAAAATAGGCCTAATAATGATGTCTGTTCTCTGCTCTAAGTTACACTTCATTTTCTAATTTACGTCAACAACAAAAGTCAACCTGAACAGAATATCATGCTTTATATAATCTTGAGCTACAAACTAACTCTTGGAATTGATGGAGATTAATCTACTTCCTACAAGGATACCTACTGTTCTAGTGACAAAAAACTCCGATTGTGATTTTGTTTTTCCCGAATCGAGTCCTTAAACATTTTCTGTCTAATTACACAGTAATGTGACTAAACAATTTGGGAAACAGTATCTGGAGAGATTAGGTGATCTACCTTATGAACATAGAGAAAAAAAAAACACAAAAATCCACTCATCCAAACCTACCCTCCCTCCTCCTATTCTCTAAAAACAAAAGAGGTCTGACACCCTTCATTAATTGTGAGAGTTTAACTCTCTGCCCTGACTCTGGAAGACATAGGACTGAAGACACTTTTATTCACAGCAGACAGCATAACAAAACTTGCCCACTGAAACAGGGTATTAAGCAGCATTTCAGACATCCCTCTGCACAATTCAAAGGAAAACAAACAGGAGATGATGCACTGGAACAAGGCATATTACTTCTATGCAAGCATGCTACTGATTGGCTAAGGATATCTATATACCATTAGCATTACAAGACCCCTGTAACTCACATCCACATCTGGTCTCTTTAGCAGATCTTCCACTTTAGCAACATCTCCATTGGCAGCAGCTTTAACCAATTCTTCATTGAGATCTCCAGATTCTTGGGTTTCAAATAATTTCTTCAATAGCTGGGACAGTCTCTCTACATTTATTAAACAGACCACAGTTAAGACTACAATTCTAGCCACAAAAGAACAGGAAAAACAACAGCAAAGATTGTCACAATTCTAAAGACATGTAACTAGTAATACACAAACCACCTTTAAATTATTATAGGGTTTTCAATAAATCCGGAATCCTGATCCCCTTAAATAGTTGAGACAATCACATCAAGTATTTCAGAACAGAAGGGGTTTTTTTTAAACCACAAATAGCTTGTCTACCACAAAATACAGAAAGGAGGGGGAGCAGGTAAAAATACAGATTGACATGTTGATGTACCAGGATTCTTAGTCTTCTATCTTAACTTTGTCTAATTTCTGCCTTCTATTATCATAGTCACTGTGTGTCTTTTTTCTATTTTATTTCCTTTTTTGGAGAACATTCACTGTATCTATGCTCACAATCCCTATGAAAAAGTCTAAAAGCCTATGTATAAATATTTCTTGACAGAGTAAATATGTGAAGGGGGAAAAAAAAACAATTAGCTATGACAAAGAAAAAAGACATTTTAGTACAACTGATGAATGAAACTGTCAATAGAACACAAAACATGTACTGGATAATCTTCCTGCCATCAGTATTAGATGAACACACTTTAGGACAAGGTGGAATGGTTTTAAACTGAGACAGGGGAGGCTTAGGTTAGATGTTAGGAGGAAGTTTTTCCACACAGAGGGTGGTGATGCACTGGAACAGGTTGCCCAAGGAGGCTGTGGATGCCCCATCCCTGGAGGCATTCAAGGCCAGGCTGGATGTGGCTCTAGGCAGGCTGGTCTGCTGGTTGGCAACACTGCACATAGCAGGGGGGTTGAAACTAGATGATTGTTGTGGTCCTTTTCAACCCAGGCCATTCTACAATTCTATGAACGTGAGCAGGTTCAACAGAAATGAAATGTACTTATGTAGCCTATAAAAAATTTCCCACTATGATTAGCCAAAGTATATTTGATCATCCCTTCTTATCACTCCAGCTTTAAAGCCTTCAGTGCTGGTCTCCAAAGATATACTTGCAGTGTAGCCAAAGAGAATCACACATTTGATTTTGCATCTATCAAGATAACAACTATATACAACTCCATACCTACTGCAAGCTTCTCCTTTCATCTCCCCATGAAGAGTAATATTGGAGTAGCCAAACATCAAGCCTTGAGTTTTATTAACCTTACATACAAGCTCTGTACCAGTATTTAACAATTCTGTGATTAACACAAGTACTTGTCACACATTCATTACTGGTTATTATTTAAACTTACCACCAGATGCATTACTTATAGCAGATCCTGCTGATGCCACCTTTGAGACAGCTGCTGGATTATATGTCCAAGATGTCCCACAAACCTCTACCTTTAAGTCACTGTCTGAATAAATCTGCTGGACACGACCAACTTTACCTAAAGTCTGCAGGGAAGGAAACATCTTAAGTAAATATACTACGAATAAAGTAGTTAGATATCTGAACATTACAGAAAACAATTTTTATCAAATCAGTTGTATAATAATTCAGTTACTAATCCTTCTAAATTTAATCAGGCTATTGTTTGGTTAAATATTCTTTCTCTGACACTTTCATGGCCTCCAGGTATTATTAACAATCATAACCAGAAATATAAGTTTAATCACCCTGAGTCCAAACATACAGCAACTTACAGGAAGCATTGCTTCAGCCCACTCTCCATGACCTCTCTGAAGAAGCTTGATTCGCTCCAAATCATAGCACACTTGAACAAGGTCACCCACTTGAAACTGAGAAGTACCTCCTTCTGCACCTTGAGCAGCATCTCCACTTCGGACAACATTGGCTTTGGTGAGAACAGCTGGATTAAATGTCCACCTAGACAAAGAATCATTTGAAGTAGGTTTTAAACTTGGGAAGTGAAATGAATGTTTAAAAAAATGTTAATAAATAAACTGAATAAGGTTCTGCTTGAATGCCTAAACCTTCCCGTAAATTGATGCTGCAGCACATGTTGTTAACTGCTTCTTGCCCAGATTAGTGAATGTGGCTCATCAGTTGAATACTGCCATCCTCGGAGATGTAAATTACTGAAGCAAAGAAGAAATGTCTTACAAGCTAACAGCTCATGACAATGTAATATTCTTGAAAGTAGTTTTTTTAATTATTATTATTATTCTAGGGCAAGAAGGAGTCAAATTGGAATGGGAAAGATTGAGTTGTCTCACAAACGACTGTACTGTCAAGAAACAACAAGGGAAGAACTCTGGATGTTGCTCCTCCTCTCCAAAGTCAGAAGATGCTATATGGAATTATAAAAAGATTCTCCAATCAAATGCATGGTCAAGATGCACCTGAATTTGAAATGAGCTATCCTATTTTTCCACTATCAATTTTATTGTTTTACAGAAATTTAGCTGTTTTTATGCCTGATTATATTCCAGTATTTAAATAAGGTAGTCTGCGCTTTATATGTAATTTGTTCCAGGACTGACTTGCATTCAACTGTTCGATCTGGTCGAGAAGCATCAGGTGACTGATGAAAGTCAAGGAAAAAAAAAAAACAACACGATATAGATTAGCTCCTCTGATTGCCTCTATAGCCACAATTATCAGACAAAATGGTACTTGCATCCCTACGGCTCCTATTAGTTGAGAAAAAAGATGTTTGCATTACTTTGCAATATTAACAAGCAATATCCAGAGGAAAAGCCTGAATACATTGACACTAATCTTGATAGATATTAATCTTGATACATTTTTTTTTTTTTGTAAGTAGATTAGAGTGGTGAGCAATCACTAA